CTTCAAGCAGTTCAGCCCGTGCGTTTGGCGCATCTCCAGTGCTGCTCAGAAGTCCAGCCTGCATCACCTGCACTACTGTATGTTTCAGCCACGTCCCATATTACACAATAAGCGAACACGTGTGCTGTGCAGCACCTTTTAGCAAGGGCCATGCTGGACATTGTTCAATTTGCCATACGCCGCATACATGGAACCTCTAAGTTCGGCATGTGGTGCTAGGGTACAAGGAGCTGGAGGAGGAGCCTGTCCTTGCCGAGTGGCCTTCATTCGCAAGGCACCGCAAGCTTCGCAGCGCATGTTGTGCATAATTAACTGCCCGCATCGTTATTGCGCAGTCATTGCAGATGGTGCTGCCGACCCTGAAGGAGGACGACGGCGACGACGGCGGCGGGATGGGGGTGCAGTTATGGTGCCTCTTGGGAGCCAAATTGGGGGCCTCTGGGGAGCCTCTTGGGGCTTCCTGGCGGCACTCTTGGGGGTCTTTTGCTGCCTTTTTGGGGCCTCCTGTAAGTCACTCGGGGCGGGGCCGAGGGCTCGAAATGTCCATTCGGGTCCCCCGTCTGGGCACCCTCTTGGAGCTGTCTTGGGGGCCTCAGGCCGTCTTGGAGGCCTCTTGGGCCGTCTTGGGACCCTCTTGTGTGTCGCTTTGGAGCTCTCTTGGAGGCCTCTTGGGCCGTCTTGGGGCGACTTGTGGGCTTCTTGGGCCGTCTTGGAGCGTCGGGAAGCCGACAATGCCAGAACACCAACCTCTGTCAAAAACCCAAAGAAAATCAATGAGATTTGCCTCTGGGGGCCCTCCTGTGAGTGCTCTTGGAGGCCTCTCGGGGCGTCTCGGAGGCGTCTTGGGCCGTCTGGAGGCTATCTTGGGCGTCTTGGACTAGTCGTTCGCGATTTGGGTCCCTTTTGGACCGTCTTGGAAGCCTCTTGGGGCAGTCTTGGCCCGTCTTGGGGCCTTCTGTGGCTCCGGGACCACCCGGGGGATGGTATTCTGACGCGGGACGCTCCCTAAACACCGCCCCTCAACACCCCTCTCAACATTCCCCCGGCGGTAAAGAGATCAAAAGGAAAGGGCTTCCCTTCCATTCGATTCGATTACGATGTTGCTCAATTTCGCTTTGTCTGGCGCGCCTGAGGTGGAGGGCCCAGGGAAAGGGGGGGGAGCGGCGACGGCGGCAACGACGACGACGACGAGTCAAGCGAAACAGCGTCTCGCACACGACAGGGTCGGCGCATTTTTGTGTGCGCACCGATCGACACAACGACCAGCACTATCCAGTGTTCGAGAAACATAACAAGGAAGATGGGGAGGGTGAGATACGATTGTGGTGGTGATGATGGTGGTAACGATTCGGATTCTGATTATGATGGTGGTGGTGGTAATGATGCTGATGATATTGATGATGCTGCTGATGATGATGATGATGATGGTGACGACGACGAGAACGATTGCCATGATAATGATGTGTATCTGAATATGGATATGTAGATGATGATGCTGCTGCTGCTGATGATGCCAAGCTGGAATGATGGATTTAGCAGCACATTGATATATTTGTGGTGGTGATTATGGCAATGATGATGGTGGTGGTGATGGCGATGGTGGGGATGATGCTGACGATTATTATGATTGCGATGATAATGATAATGATGATGCTGCTGCTGATGATGATGATGTTGCTGCTGATGCTGATGATGCTGCTGCTGATGATGATGATGACGCTGCTGCTAATGATGATGATGAGGTTGCTGATGATGATGCTGATGATGCTGCTGCTGATGATGCTGCTGATGCTGATGAGGCTGATGATGCTGATGATGCAGATGATGCTGATAATGCTGATGGTGTGGATGATGCTGCTGCTGATGATGATGATCCTGCTGTTGCTGATGACGATGCTGCTGATGGTGATGATGATGATGCTGATGATGGTGGTGGTGGTGGCGGTGTTGGGTGTGATGATGAGGATTATGACGATGACGATCACGAAGGTGATATTGATTGAGTTATTGAGTAATTGATTTGTTGAAGTATTGATGGTTATGATGATGATTCGAAGATGAGGAAGAGGATGAGGAAGAGGACGAGGACGAGGACGAGGAGGAGGATGAGGAGGACGAGGAGGAGGAGGAAGAAGAGGGAAGGGGAGGATGAGGATGAGGATGATGATGATGCTGCTGATGCTGCTGCTGCTGATGATGATGACGATGATGATGCTGCTAATGATGATGACGCTGTTGCTGATGATGATGATGATGATGATGATGATGATGATGATGATGATGATGGTGATGATGATGATGATGATGATGATGATGATGATGATGATGATGATGATGATGATGACGATGATGATGATGCGATGATGACGATGACGATGATGATGATGATGATGATGATGATGATGATGATGATGATGATGATGATGATGATGATGAGATGATGAGATGATGAGAGGAGGAGGAGGAGGAGGCGGAGGAGGAGGAGGAGGAGGAGGGAGGAGGAGGAGGAGGAGGAGGAGGAGGAGGAGGAGGAGGGAGGAGGAGGAGGCGGAGGAGAGGAGGAGGAGCAGGACGAGCAGGATGAGGAGGAGGAGGACGAGGAGGGGGGAGAATGAGGAGGAGGAGGAGGAGAAGGAGGATAAGGAGGAGGATGAGGAGGAGGATGAGGAGGAGGAGGAGGGACGAGGAGGAGAGGAGGAGGAGGAGGGAGGAGGAGGAGGAGGAGGAGGAGGGGGAACGTGCTCGGAAGCGGAGGGCGCCCCGCGGCGCTCTCACGCAGGAGCACGATACCTTCTTCGACGTTGTGAAGTCTTTCGACGCTCTCATCGTCCGGTGCAACCCGGGACAGATCAAGGCTGACGGAGGCCGCCGGGGGCGCAGGGTGGAGGAGGGCTGTCCAGGACGAGGGCTCTCCAGGGTGAGCAGCGGCATGGGTGCCTCTTCCTCTTCTCCCCCCCGCCCGCCCTACCTCCTCCTCTTCCTCCTCTTCCTCCTCTTCCTCCTCTTCCTCCTCTTCCTCCTCTTCCTCCTCTTCCTCCTCCTCCTCCTCCTTCTCCTTCTCCTCATCCGCCTCCTCCATTCGGGCGTTGCGTGATGGGGGGACGATACGTTGGGGGTTAAAGAAAGGTGCACCTCTTGTGCCCTAAAGGGGCACTGAAGGCCAAAAGGGGCACGAAAGGTGCACGTTTCTCTCCCCCCCTGTTATCGCCCCCCCATGAAGCAACGCCCGAATTGAGGAGGCGGAGGAGAATGAGGAGGAGGAGGAGGAGGGAGGAGGAGGAGGAGGAGGAGGAGGAGGAGGAGGAGGAGGAGGAGGAGGAGGAGGAGGAGGAGGAGGAGGATGAGGAGGAGGAGGAGGAGGAGGAGGAGGAGGAGGAGGAGGAGGAGGAGGAGGAGGAGGAGGAGGAGGATGAGGCGGGGCGGTCACCCATGCCGCTGCTCGTCCTGGAGAGCCCTTGTCGCCACGGCTAGGTTCTCCTGGACATTCTGGTCAGAACGCACCCCAAGAGAGGACCGCGAAGTAGCCGTATCGGTATCTCTTGGCTCCCCCAGTGGCGGGGGGGGAGGAGTAGGAGGAGGAGGAGGAGTAGGAGTAGAAGGAGGAGGAGGAGGAGGAGGAGGAGGAGGAGGAGGAGGAGGAGGAGGAGAGGAGGGGGAGGAGGGGGGAGGGCCAGAGGAAGGCACGAGATGGCATCGGCGACGCTGCCAGGCACCGTCCCGTCACGAGTCTCCCCGCGAGTCTCGTCGGGCCTCCCCGTCCGCTGCAGGACGCGCCGCCTGGGAAGGCCAGCGCCTCGCGGGCCTGCCATACGGGCGGCAGCGCAGGTCTCGAGAGGGGATGCCCTGCATTCTCCCAGCAAGCAGCGAGTAGCAGGAGGCATAAACAGATGAACAACACACAATCAAAAGGCCAAACACCATGAGCCAAACAAGCATGCAAAGCATGATTCTGCAGATGAGCCAGGCCTTCATGGGCATCCCCGTTTTGAGAATTGTGCAGCCCCAAACGTGCAAGACTCGCACAGTTTCGCATCCGTGACGCTGTGCCGTCTGTTCAAGTTTCTGGTTCTGGAACCGCCCTCCATCCGTGCAGTTGCTAAGTTTTTTTTGTTGTAAATGTCAGTTTTTTTGAGTTCAGCGACGGCTTAAGTGAAACCACCGCTTTGAAAAGGAACCGCACTCCATCTTTGTATCGGTTGCACGGTTTCAAGGCGCATGTTCTCGGCATTAAGGGGAGAGCCACATTGTGACCCACCCTCCATCCTGGACTTCGTTGTACGCTCGTAAGGTGATCGTGCGCGGCGCTAAGGCGAGAGTTTCATGCGACAACCACTCCTTTCATCCTTGAAGCTGTTACACTTTTTTCAGACGAACGTTCGCGGCGCTAAGGCGAGAGCTTCGTTCTGGAGACGGCCCCCTCCATCTTTGAAGCATTTACAGACTTCACGCTTCAGGAGCACAAATGGCGAGGGATGCTCATTCGAAACGCCCTACCGACATGTAATGAGGTGCGACAGGAAACGGTTGTTTATAAGAACCTGCGACGGAGGAGGAGAAGGAGGAGGAGGAGGAGGAGAGGGGGACGGGGAGGGAGGGGAGGGAGACATGGAGCAGGAAGAGGGGGAGGAGTAGGAGGAGGGACAGCAGGAGGGGATGGGGAACGAGGAGGACGAGGAGGAGAAGGAGGAGGACGAATGACTCATCAACCCCCCCCCAATCTCCCTCTTCATAGGCTCCCGCACGGATTCATTCCCACTGAAGGACGTGCTCCGTTGGTAGACAACCTTTTGAAGATCCTGCAGCGTGCCAAAACGGCATTCTCGGGACTGTTGCGACCTGACGATCTTGTATCGTGTCAGAACACCCTTCTTGGGGCTTCAACATCGCGACTCGTAACTGTTGCACCCTCTAAGAACACTGTTTCTGGGACGTTCACCTTGGGAAACCGTAAGACTCTTGCAAATGTTTAAAACGAGTGTACACGGGGCTAAGGCGAGATC